AGGAATCATGTCGCGCTGCCTCGCTGAGAGGGTCTGGACAAACAGACATGACGTGGCTTGGTCTCAGGATATCCATCGACCACGGAACGTCTCTTCTTTTTCTTTTTTAGTGCTCCTTCCTTCTTTTTCTTCATTCCCTCCCTCTCTCTCTTCCCTCGTCCTTCTTTCCTTTTTCCTTCAGAAGCTCGCCCGGTTACCCGTGGCTTCGCAATTTCATCCACATAATACCTGATCGTTTTAGCGGTGTGCGCGGTCGGGCTCCCGAGAGAACTTTCGAACCCTGCATTTATCCCGGCGCAATTACCAACAAGTACTAATTCAGAGTGCAACGTGGAATGATGGATGCTTCGAAATGGAAACTTGTCCGGGGATGAGATGTAAATCCCATCAGTGGCCAGTTCGGGTGTGATGTGAAGATGCCTATCTAGAGCGCAGTTGTGCGCAAGCCATTTGACTTTCAAACATGACCGATCGCTGAGTTGCAGCTCACACGATAACGAGCACGAAGAAGGAGCAGGAGCAGCATTCAAGCTCACAACTTCGGAGCCGGAGCATCAGTTGAAACTCAGAATGTTGGTAGGATGAGTACTTCTTCTCTGTCTTCTAACAAGAAAATCTTCAAAACCAAAACTGTTTTAAAAAAGTTGCGGTTTCATATTTACTAAATGAGATTCAGAAAATCATTCAACAGCGATAAAATTACGGTCCGATTCCGCGCTACCTAAACGATAGGGCCAGGAGACAGTAAACTGTGAGAGTCTGAAGGGCTTGACGGTGATAAAAGCTCTTTCTGGGTACGCCACAGAGTGACATCCGACCGCTAGTATCTGGAACCTCAATGCAATGAAAATGACGCAAAAGTCAGCGTTTCTCTCGTCCCCAATACAATTATCCGATTGGAACCTTGCACCAGTCAGGCAGTCCTGAGGTTCTATGGAGCTTAATTGGTCTACGTGGGATTCAGTCCCCAGACGATAACCTTGGAACGGAGCCAACTTGGTGAAGATGGGTGAGCGGAACCCTTTGCAGGACCTCTGCTTGAGCTAGTTTAGCTTCATTCACCTCACAGAAACGAAAGGCTCGAGAGCGGTGAAAAGGCAAATCGTTTAGCGACAGCGAATCTCTTTTTGAGATGGGCCATGCAATCTTCCTATGGTCAAAATCGTAGCGCCACGGGTCCTTTTAAAGGCACATTCCGCGATAAAATAAGGCTATGACCTCTCAAATGTGTCGGACGATCCGGAAGGCGATTTTTGAGGCTGCGCTACTTTCAAAATGTGAAAAACGGCAAGAACTCCGCTAGAAGCTGACTAATTAGGCCCATGGACACCCCTTAGGCCCATGCCGACCCTCACCGGCTGCTAGCTACTAGCTAGTAGCCACTATGTTATCTTTCTCTATAACATTTCGGACTGCTTTTTCTGCTGCTTTTCTCCGCTAATCAGATACTTAGCACTTTTTTGTGTGCCATATTTGAAAGTTCCGTTTCCCCGCATTATGCGGTCGACGAAACTGTGCTTTAAGTTTGGCTGAGCGCCATCCCGATCCTAACGAGACGTATTTAGTCCTCCCACTCACGTCTGATAATAACTGCTTCATCCCAAAGAGATGGATCTTGCAATCTCATCCCGATAGTAAGCCTCCGGACTAAACGATGCCAGCCCTCCAAATCTATTTCTATTACTGCAAAAATTGCTGAAAAAAACCCTAACCCTCACATTGGTATCCCTTATTCCTATACCTTACCTCGTAAACTTCTCTTAGAGGAAGTAATAGCTGGGCAAAGGACCGGTCAAGTGCTTTTATGGAGAGGCGTTTGACGGCATCCATTTTGAGTTTACTCGCCAAAAGCGGAGAACGCGTTTCCTAACCCCAGGCAACTGACGCAGCAATCCCCATATCCGTGACCAGGCGTCCTCTATCGGGAATCGTAGGGGAATCGTATTGAGTTCGATACCAATAAGAATTTTTATCTTCTCGGAGTAGGTGAGCTGAAGCTAGCATGTACTGCTTGCTATATGTAAGTCAGTCCTTTTGATTGGTAACACTACTATGAAGCGCGATCGACCTCTAACAATGTGAGAGCTTTGATCACATCATCGCAGAAGCAAATTACGCTTTTGGAATGTATTGGCCCTACTGTAACTATGAGCGCTTAATTTCCATACTCAAGTCGCGGTCGATCATCAAGCACGATGCAGACCGCCCAGCTGGACCTCCCGAACAGTCCAGATCGCTACCACCGATGCAGCTCTGGTGCCTTTGTTTCGTAGGATCTCTTTGACGGCGCGGTGCAGTAAACGACTCTCAGGTCGCCAGTACATAATGAGTTTTTGTCAGCAGCGCCGGCAAGCGTTTTGTGCCGCCATCGCCGTCACTGGCCGATTGAGTAACGGAACAACACGCGTAAGTCATACGCATGACGTAAGCGTAACAGACGCGAAACACTGCGGCACACTGTGGAGACCACTTGGTACAATCATTTGGCGCGCCATTTCGGCCTGCAGAGCAAAAAGTAAACTGAAGGTCAACGTGGAGATTGGTTTGAATGGGTCAATATCTGTAGGTATTTTACTGTACTGGAATGGGACCAAGCAGAAAGGAAGCTGTGAACATATAAACTCAAAAAGTAATAGGTAAGGGAAAAACAAAAAAAAACAAGTGGAATACGATTTTGATGTCATTACTTTGACCTAGGAAGAGTTACTACCACAAAACTGCAGGAAAAGGATCATTGAAAAAGGCATGAGAGGTGAAGTCCTGCTTAACCTATCAAGAGCTCGCCATGTATCTCACCGCCCAGAGGCGTCCATGGGGGCAGAGGATTACCCATATAAGCTAGTGCGCCTGCAGCAAAACAGGCAAAACCACTCACTTTCGTCCGTAGGAATGAAATTTTTGCCGAGACGACCTGACCATCTGGTTTGTTCGGGTTGCCTCGTTTATTCTTCCTTCTACCGTGGTAAGTTTTATGAGCTTTATTCCAGTATGGTGAGGCATTTTAGTGTAGAAAGCCCAAGGCGTTTGAAATGCTAATCACGACTAGTATTTTTACTCTTAGACGGTTAATTTTTATTATGCCCTCGTGGTTCCATGCGCTGATGTAGTACCAAGGAAAGTGAAAGGGCCTCCGAGTCACTTTGCTTGACCAAAGTTCATGGTTAGAGCACAGACAGCAGAATTCCCGCGGTTTAATATACGTTTATACTTCGCCGCGGCGTTTTGAGCGATGAATCGTAGACAAGCAAGCCTGATCTTTAGTCATCAGAACAACGAGCAAAAGAATTGACCTTCGCCAGGACTAGTTCTCGGACCTCAGACCACCGCGGTATTGTGGTGCCCTTGCACCGAGGTCCTCCATTTCCCCTGCTCGCTGTGAACATCCGAATCTTTGGGTTGTCTTGTTCTCTGAGATTAATGAAACGTGTGAACGGCGCGTCCAGGAGTTAGTAGCTGCCCAGCTCTTGAGCTCGTACGAGCTAGAAAGTCCTGAACTTGAACTTGAGTGGCTTGGGTACGGAAAATTGGACGATCACCTATGTCAAGAGCGACGAGAGGCGGACCCCACGACGGGCTCTGAAGTGAACGGAATGGGACAGAGAGAACTCCAT